AGCCTGCGTGTGCGTGCGTGCGTGCGTGTTGAGTGTACCAGTGAACACACATTACGAAAACAAACAAGCTTCGGTTAGAAAAGAAAATGTATCTGACCTGTATGTCTGGGGATGCCAGATCCATATTTATCGTGCTGTTGACGCGCAGCAATAATTAAAATTTATTGAAGCAAAACTGAAGCTGCGTAAAAGGACAATTTCAAAGGCTAATTATTTATCGGCTCGAAAAACCCTGATAATGTGATTTTATCCCAGGTACCTTTGTACCTCTATGTTTTTTATGAGATACACATCAAATTAAACCATAAATTAGCCGCGCCGCTATCTCAGCACAGCTCCCTCTGTTGAGCCCAGCCTGTCAGGGCAGACAAATGTCCTCATACTGTAAGTCTATAAATCTCTAATCACACGTTGTACAAGTTGTATTTCTGCCTTGCACTTCAGCTGCTTGAACTGCCGCACTAATCACCCTGTGTGTGTCAATGACAGTAGTGTCAACTACGATTCCTCCGTGGTTTATTTTCGGTTGATGAAACCAAACAAACAGCGGGCTCTCACCCTGTAGAGGGGGTCATTATGCAGCCGCCACGGTCCACTGTCATTCTGCAGCCACAGCCACGCTCCGGGGTGTCGTGGTTCATGCCAAAATTGTGTCCCAGTTCGTGTGCCAAAGTCACGGCAGCACCCAGTGGGTTGTCAGAGTGATCCTGCAGCGGGGGTGGGGGAGGGGACAGGGCATCACAAAGCATGAGAGCGTGCCAGCCATGTGTAATCTTCCTGAAAGGGATTTCAATTGAATAAAAATCAAAGTAAAGTGACAAAAAAAAAAAAAAAAATCAAAGTAAAGTGACAAAAAAAAAAAAAAATCAAAGTAAACTGACAAAGAAAAAAAAAAAAAAATCAAAGTAAAGTGGAAAAAAAAAAAAAAATCAAAGTAAAGTGAAAAAAAAAAAAAAATCAAAGTAAAGTGGAAAAAAAAAAAAAGAACAAATATCAAGTTCAAACAAGACATTTTCGAAGCTGCAGTAAGTGTCCCAGATCCCCCTCTGCTATTACTCATTCTTCTCATGGAGCCCAGAAACATCATCTGCCATCCCAATTCCCCGCAGACCCAATCATACAAAAGATCTACTGCAGGAAGCAGCGGCAACCTACCGCCACGTAACAACGACCGCCTGACAGGGCGAGATGGAGCGAAATGTTCCGAGAGAAGGAAGAGGTGAATTAGGTTGTAGAAAGAAGAATTTGATATTTAGACAGTGAACAAGCATAGAAATAATTTACTTTCCTTTGACCGCGGGGGCCGCGGGGGAGAACACAGAAATGAATCAGAGCATGACTCAAACAACAGGTTGGTCTTTAGGCCTCATTTATGTTGCAGATCGTTCTCAAACACACTGTATATTTGGATTTAGTTACTTGTAGCTCAACATGTAAGCTAGAGGATTTAATGTAGTCATTTTAAAGTGACCTTCAGTTTATTTGTTATTGGTGATTATTGAATTCAAACCTATTAAAGTTGGATTGAAAAACACCAGTAAACAAAAAGCCGAACATATTAGAAATGTGTAAATATCCAGAGAATACATATATACAGTATATATATATGTAGATATATATTTATATAAAACTATCTGCTCTTTTGTGTCTTTCTGTTTCAACAACACATGCATTAAAGTGAATAAAGTTTTTGTCATATTTTATGAATCATGATTCATCATGATTACTCACGATCATGAATAATAACAATCACCATTAACCAGGATAAATTGTGATAAATTCGTAGCTACCCTGTCATTATTCAGATTGAAAACTTTGCCAGCCCTAATGAAAAATATATTTGAAAAATGTTTATCCTAAATGACAAGATGGTGATTAGCATAAAAGTTTGATTTAAAACCAACACTAAACCCCAGATTGAGACGACCCTTTAGAAGGTTCCGGCCTCACTGCAACACTCCACTGTATATGTTATTGTAAAATGTATGCGTCCTGTTATGTTCTGCTTATGAGAACATTATCATGCTTCCTTTGAAGGCCCAGTCATATGTGAAGTTTAGGTCAAACCGAGCTGTTTTTCTGCTTTGATTATAGAGCAGCGTGACAAACAGCGCCCCGCCTCTTTGACAAAACGAGACAACTTTCATCTGGTCCGCTCATATTCATCAGTGGATGTTGCTGCGTGTGAACGTACGCGTGTGGCCAGGCTAAACGCTTCCTTGCAAAAATATGCGAGTCAGCAGAAATAGATGGATCTGCGAAAACCACTATCATCACTTTGAAGCTGCTGCGAGACCACGCCGAGGCAGGGAAAATGAAAAACGTCGGGGAAAAAAGGAACCACATTAAACAAATGAATTATTTGATTCCCATTATCACATGGTCGGAGAAACGGCTCGTCAACATTTGGCCTCTTACTGGTTACCAGGCTCTTTAATCTCAGTCCAAATCTGCTGTCATACGTCACCTCGGGGGGACAGAAGACATCTGGAGGGGCTTCAACCGCAGCCACGGCCGGTACTTAACACTGCTGCTCATGTGTGTTCACATGTAAGACAGGATGTCATGGAACAAGGCAGATAACCACTTGACACAAATGAGCATGAAACCAAAGAGCTGCAGCCGTTCACTATAGATCCAGTGTCCTCGGGGCGATACACGGCGATGTGAAAGGAAAAAGCATTTTCAAATTCAAATGTTAAGACTGGCATGAACAATTCGTGGCAGCTGATAAATATGTAAATGTGTTTTTTTATTTTTAAATGCAGGGGTCTTTGATTTACCTTCTCTGAGTGGAACCTTTTCTGCTAGGGTTTATTGAATGTAAAATATTTTAGGCAGAAACCTGTGAGCGCTGCTGTGGCTACTTCATCAGGAATCAGGAGTTGTGCTGATCTCACAACAGAATTCAGATATAATAGTTGTCCTACACGAATCATTATCTTTAGTCCAGTTTTTTTTCAGGCTTTGTAGAGGTCATTTCAAATGTATTTCACTGTTTCTTCTCACATTCTCCTGGTTTGTAATGCACTAAAGCAGTGGTTCTCAAAGTGGTGGGTATGGAGCAATAGCAGGGACAATGCAGAGGAAAAATTAGAATAACAAAATTGACTTTAGTTGTGCCACATTGGTGCATTATCGGTGCATTCCCAAACACATTAAAAAGGGTTATAATACATCATTAAAGTTGGTAAACAATAAAAAAGACAGTTAGGAGCTGCTGGTAAATTAAAGTAAATAGTAATAAAACAGGGTATAAAGCCCAAAAAGATATGAGGAGGAAATAAAAACATGTTAATAAAATATGTTTTTAATGCACTGGTGCTGTTAATGACTCTGATAGGCCTGTGTGTAAAGTCCCTTCAAGCAAACAGCAACATTTCCTGTGTAAATCACAGCGTGGATATTGTTGCTCAGTCGGATCCCAACAACAACCACACTGATACAATCAAGCTGTACAGAGGAAGGGGAAGGTGGAGGTGTGGGATGGGGGGGGGGCGAGAGGCAGGGGGGCCATTGTACACTCACCATGACAATGCCTCCAGACTGCTCCAGCGAGTGATATGATGTGTATGGTAAGGGGATGAGGGGAAGGTGGGGGTGTGGGAAGGGGGGGGGGGCGAGAGGCAGCGAGGCCATTGTACACTCACCATGACAATGCCTCCAGACTGCTCCACGGTGCACATGCTCATAATGGGAGCCATGCCAATGGTGGTGCCCTGGAAGTAGACCCCGCTGCAAAAGAAAGAAGAAAAACAAGGTCAAGGAGGAAAATGAAAAATGTACTGCGCTATGATTTAAAAGAAAAAGTCTAAACACAGTAACACAGTCAGTAAAGTAATGATTGAATAAAAGGAAACAAAAGATGATTTTTTTATTTTTTTCATTTATTGTTTTTGTCTGTACTGCAAATATTGTTTTTGTTTGCTATTCTTTTATGCCATTCTCTGTCCTGTTTCCCCAGAGTGAGATCAATACAGTTTAATATAATATGAAGAGGTAAGAAGAAAAGAAAAACTCTTGAAACAATCTCCAAACCTCATTCTTTTACAGTATTGATTATAATAGTGTGTTAGTGTGTTATCTCTGCTGCAGTGTGTGACTGTGCCACTGGGGTCGTAATGTTCTGTTATGTGTCTTCTCCAGGTCTCTCATGAAAATAGATTTTAAACCTAAATGAGCCCTAACCTGGTTAAACAAAGGGATTGGTGGATGCTCCTTTAATATCTGACCTTGATAATGACATCAGTTCTCCTTTAATCAAGGTTTAATCACCTTTTCAGTCTTAGAAACTTTATTGATTCAACACCAGGGAAATGAGTTTGCTTTCGTCCTATTTTTCCAAACACAATTAAATCTGAGTTAAAAAAAAACAAAAGACAAAATGTGTCCTTTTTAAAGCATTTTTTTAGGTGTGAACCACTTAAGGACAAAAAAGTGTTTGTTTATTATCCTTTTATCCTGGATTGATTAATTATAGAGTTGTTTTCCAATGTTCATTTGAAGTTATTTTACCTAATGAGCTGGGCGTTATCGTGAGGCTTCTGGGGCAGCAGTTTGACTTTCCTCCAGTCCAAGAACTCATGCAGTGTGGCAAAAGGATCCTGGGTGACGGGACATTTGTCCGAGTCGCTCCACACCTCCAGGCCCACCAGGGCGACTCGGATGTTCAGAGCTCTGTAAAACTGAAGGGCAGAGATGATCAAAAAAAATATTGGTGTGAAACTCTATTGTTATCCCTTTCTTTTTTCCTACTGGGGTCCATCCAATGATGGTTAGCAACATTTAATCCGTTACATTTACTTGAGTAAGTTTTTTAAAATAAAATACTTTAGTAGTTTTAAATCAATACACTTTTACTTTTACTTAGTAGATTTATGAACAAGAAACAGTACTCTTACTCCGCTACATTAGACTACACTAAGTTCGTTACCTTTATCAGAGATACTGGATAAATCTTTAGCTATCCAGTATCCAGTTCTCTATTCATCCATGATCCAGTGTTTCTACTTTTATTTTGTCAGACAGAGAGACTTCCGCCCAAGGCTCTACCGCGTGACTGTGTTTAACCAATAAAACGTAGCCTTTGCCGCGCAGTCTGGGGTGGAAGTGGTGGGGGTTCGAGAGGCAGCGAGGCCATTGTACACTCACCATGACAATGCCTCCAGACTGCTCCACGGTGCACATGCTCATAATGGGAGCCATGCCAATGGTGGTGCCCTGGAAGTAGACCCCGCTGCAAAAGAAAGAAGAAAAACAAGGTCAAGGAGGAAAATGAAAAATGTACTGCGCTATGATTTAAAAGAAAAAGTCTAAACACAGTAACACAGTCAGTAAAGTAATGATTGAATAAAAGGAAACAAAAGATGATTTTTTTATTTTTTTCATTTATTGTTTTTGTCTGTACTGCAAATATTGTTTTTGTTTGCTATTCTTTTATGCCATTCTCTGTCCTGTTTCCCCAGAGTGAGATCAATACAGTTTAATATAATATGAAGAGGTAAGAAGAAAAGAAAAACTCTTGAAACAATCTCCAAACCTCATTCTTTTACAGTATTGATTATAATAGTGTGTTAGTGTGTTATCTCTGCTGCAGTGTGTGACTGTGCCACTGGGGTCGTAATGTTCTGTTATGTGTCTTCTCCAGGTCTCTCATGAAAATAGATTTTAAACCTAAATGAGCCCTAACCTGGTTAAACAAAGGGATTGGTGGATGCTCCTTTAATATCTGACCTTGATAATGACATCAGTTCTCCTTTAATCAAGGTTTAATCACCTTTTCAGTCTTAGGAACTTTATTGATTCAACACCAGGGAAATGAGTTTGCTTTCGTCCTATTTTTCCAAACACAATTAAATCTGAGTTTAAAAAAAACAAAAGACAAAATGTGTCCTTTTTAAAGCATTTTTTTAGGTGTGAACCACTTAAGGACAAAAAAGTGTTTGTTTATTATCCTTTTATCCTGGATTGATTAATTATAGAGTTGTTTTCCAATGTTCATTTGAAGTTATTTTACCTAATGAGCTGGGCGTTATCGTGAGGCTTCTGGGGCAGCAGTTTGACTTTCCTCCAGTCCAAGAACTCATGCAGTGTGGCAAAAGGATCCTGGGTGACGGGACATTTGTCCGAGTCGCTCCACACCTCCAGGCCCACCAGGGCGACTCGGATGTTCAGAGCTCTGTAAAACTGAAGGGCAGAGATGATCAAAAAAAATATTGGTGTGAAACTCTATTGTTATCCCTTTCTTTTTTCCTTTACTGGGGTCCATCCAATGATGGTTAGCAACGAGTTACATTTAATCCGTTACATTTACTTGAGTAAGTTTTTTAAAATAAAATACTTTAGTAGTTTTAAATCAATACACTTTTACTTTTACTTAGTAGATTTATGAACAAGAAACAGTACTCTTACTCCGCTACATTAGACTACACTAAGTTCGTTACCTTTATCAGAGATACTGGATAAATCTTTAGCTATCCAGTATCCAGTTCTCTATTCATCCATGATCCAGTGTTTCTACTTTTATTTTGTCAGACAGAGAGACTTCCGCCCAAGGCTCTACCGCGTGACTGTGTTTAACCAATAAAACGTAGCCTTTGCCGCGCAGTCTCGTCACGTGACCATTCTCAGTCTCAACGGCGGGACGGGTTAGTTTAGTGGCTGCTACGGTCGATATTCACCGAGTTTAATTGAAAAAAAAAAAAAAAAAAAAAGGTAGAGTCAACGGTCGGAATTGCAGACGAAGACGAGGAGGCACGCCACTGGCATCATATCGAAAGCATGTTCAATTTACCAACAGTGCGGAACAGCACTGTTTGTTTGAACAAAACAAACGGATATGTTAGCATTCAAACGTCTAACATGAGGAAATATGTTGCGGTAAGTTTGACCTAAAATCGTTTTATTATTATTATTATTATTTATTTTGTAGATATTTATTTTGTGTACTCTATTATTTCATTGTTTTTTATTTTTATTGAAGCACTTGAATTTACCGAAAGATTATATTTCAAGGTATTTAATTAATTTGCTTTATTTTATTATTTTAATATTTGTAATTTTGTCTAGCTGATTGAGTGCTCATTAAAAAATCAGATGTTACTCAACAGTTACTTGGTACTTGAGTAGTTTTTTCACCAAGTACTTTTTTACTTGCACTCTTTTACTCTTATTATTTGGATTACTACTATTTACTTCTACCTGAGTAATATTACTCTGAAGTAACAGTACTTTTACTTGAGTACAATTTTTGGCTACTCTACCTACCTCTGGTTCCATCATCTAACACATTTACGTAGGGTCAGTTAAATGCCTGACATGATCTAGCCGTGTCGCTTGGACGTCTCTCTGCATACCTTTCTTATGAAAAGCCATTCATCAGCGTACCCTATTTCCTTGCCACATCCTGAGCGTTGGCAGAGGTTTTACAGAAACTAAAAGCAGCTGTTTTAGCGGTACATTAATATATGTCACTCTCATCCCATTAATCTCCGCTGCAGAAATATTTCTATTTTAAAAAAGGTGATTTATCCTTCCTATCCACGCAGAGGGGAGAGTGTTTTTACCTTGTCCACATAATTGGCTATCTCTGCCAGTCTCTGTTTCACCTTGTCCACGTCCTTCCCCTGTTTCAGGAACTGCAAACAAAACGACTCGCCGTGAGAACTTTTACAGCGGCACGAAGGCAGACGTGAGTATATACAGAGTACAGTGGAACCCCCAAGATACGAGTTTCATCCGTTTCACAACAGCACACGTGTCTCGATCCGCTCATATCTAAATCGAATTTCCCCCCCTTCAAAATAGCTAAAAAGCAATTCATTCATTCCATCCCCCCAGAAATATACTACTAATTTCCCCCTATCTAAACATTAAAAACATAGATATAAACAAATATATTGATAATATAAAATAATAATAATTAAGAAAACATTTATATACAGTATTTTTTTTTCTTTTTCTTTTTTTTAATCAGGTGCTTGGTTGAGCACTCGTTACAAGATGTTTCCTCGTATCATGAGGAAAGTCTTGCAATAGTTGCAGACTCGTAACTTGGAATACTTGTATCTAGGGGGTCCACTGTATTTTACAGACACATTAGAAACACATAGAAGTATTTTAAGAACAACATTGGATCACGCTGTAGGCAGTGTGTTGTAGTTAAGATGTACTCCAAAGTATTCAAAGGCAATATGTTTTACTGTGTCAGGCATGTTGTCAAGCTGTGACCATCTGGATCTGGAAAAATCACCTAGTGTTGGAAAAAAACCCGGCTGAGCTACAGGGAGCAGGTACTGTATGTTGGCAGACCTGACGGCCTGCTATGCTGAAGATGCACCGCTCTAAAGTCTTAGAGACCTCATCTTTTTTCCCCACCCTGCTGTGCATCCACCTGCGTTGGTGCCGGGGTTTAAATCTGTGGCTGACATCACACTCGATCTCTGATTCTATTTATGTATTTGCATATCGTTTTACTCATATTCAAGTAGGTGGCGTTAGCTGCCAAGAGATAGAGCGTGTGCGGGGAAGTCCTCTGAATCCACAGAGCTTTTTTCCTGTTTCCTGTCTGCTCCACAGGGGAATCATTCAGCACTTCCTGTCAAAACAGAACTGCTGCCACCGGACAACACTACTTATCTTTCTGACCTAATTCTGCGGCTCCACAGGGACTACCGCTCTACTGTTGCAAGTGTAGCATTTTCCCCTGCTGTACGAAGTGTCAGCTGCGTTACGTGCGTCGTCTGTGTTGTTCAAACATGACATTTGTAAATAACAGGGAGGCAGGTACATCACCTCTCTGCTGTCTGCCACGATGATCAGCTCCACGTACTTGGTTGTCTTCTGAGCGTGCCGTCTATGCTGGGGTAGAGAGAGGCTGCTGGTTATTGATGTGCAGGTGCAGGGCCTCTACATCACCTTTTAAAGGCTGCAATACACTCAAACTCCTGAAGGACAAAATTGCTGTTGTGCTGAGAATTAGGTTAGAAAATCAATAACAATCTGGGGTCTGAATGGAACTCCAAAGCAGAAGTACTAGCACTTTAGTTTAGCTTAGAAGAATATCAGTAGAGAGAACAACAGGAACAGGATCATGGTCCCTATGTGAACCCCTGCTGTTTTACTGCTGTGTTTCCATAACTAGGGAACTTCTTCTATTAAGAGTAGTTCCAATCTTTCCCAATCAGTGTTTAACCTCAGTAGTGACCGTTTTCAAGTCTATTATTTAGTTAGTTATTCAATTAGGAATAGAGTTCATTAGTGTTAATTTATTAACACATTTTACATTTCACAATTAATTTTAGAAAACGAAGATCAATGAGGCTGGGATTCCCAAAGTGTGGTATGTGCACCCCTGGGAGTGTGCGAGCTGCCACTAGGGGGTGATAAAATATGATATATGAACCATTAGTTGTATCGCTGGGAATAGTGATTTTCACACATGTAAATGTCAATGTACCGTTGATAACAACGACAAGAACAAGAAATTTAAGAGAAAACATATGTTTTTCATATTTTCAGGACAGTATCTTCATTCATCTTTAACAACTCACTGCTCCTCAGGGTCATAAGGAGAGCTGGAGGAACTCCCAGCAGTCTCTGTGTGAGGGCGGGGTTCAACAGAGACAAACAACCATTCACGCTGATACTCATACCTACAGTCAATTTAGATACTTGTGTGTTTTGGATTGTGGGAGGAAAAAATGAGTTTCCTGGAGAAAACCCCTGCACAGAGGGGGAGAACCTGCCAAATCTCTACAGAAGGACCAGGGATTAAACTCACTGATCTTCTTGCTCTGAAGCAAGGGCACTGATCACTTCTTTCATCACGTGGCCTGGAAACTATCCTTCACAGGAAATGTTTCTATTTGATATCAGGACCATGTCCACCCATATCCTGCACAAATTCAAAATACTCCTAAGAAAACAACCGAGAACCGAGCAGATTTGTTTGCCATTCTGCCGATGTTTGGTCAACAGCTCGTTCACCTTGTTGCCTACAGACTAGAGATTGCTGAGGAAATATTAGATTCCATGTTTAAACCGATGACATCCAGTGGCTCTAATACAAAATGTTCTACAAAGACAACACAGTTTTATCTCACCCTTTGGTGGAAAGACTGAAAAGGGCTTTTGATGTCGTTTTCAGGAGGAGCAGAAGACGAGTTGAAGCCATGGCCGCAGGCTCCGGGGGTTAGCTCCAGGTCTTCTCCTCGGTAGATGAAGTGAGAATCAGCGTCTTGGTCAGACCCCGGCTCGATGATGAACGTCTTGTTCTCCAGTGCAATGAAGCCTCTACAAAGACCGCAGTGAAGGTTTCAAAAACAAAGCCTGAGAGAACGTCTCAAAAACAGGAGGTGAGTGAATGTGTTTTTTGTGTAATAGAACACAAACAGCCCAGGCAGCTTTCATCCTCCTTTAACAAAAGGCAGAGCTGCAAATTCAATAGTTTTCCTTGGCAAAGAAAATACCTTGTATATTGCAACAACTAATCTTTAAAAAAAGACAACACAAGAAGTGTTATTTCATTTACATAAAAAAGGCCCAATGTTTAATTCTCTGTACAACTGAAACAGGACAAAGGAAAGAAAACAGGAATTGTTGTTTTTTCAACACTTCTCGAGTTCTGTGTGTGTTTGGATCTAATTGATGATTTAATTAATTTACTCAAAAACAGAGTATCTTTCAGTGTTACCTCGTAATAATACTAATAATGTCACATGCAAGAATTTTAAACACCAGTAATCTTTTATTATGTGTCCCTTATTAAGTTTTTGCATCAAGTTTTTGCATCCAACACAGGGGGGCGCCATTCTGCGTATTTTAGGAATATCAATTTGTCTGCATTAATCATGATTAATCATGCTACAATATGATCATGATTATTATCTGATTAATTGTGAATAGTCATGATAAATCTGCAGTTAGGCTTTGATTAATCAGATCGTTTGACAGTGCCAGTTCATACTGAGCCTATGGTTTCTTATTTTAGGGCTGAGGTTAGCTTCATAAAATACTTTAAAATGTATTCCTCCTTTGTCATCAGTCGGCAATGATAAAAGATAATAACCAGCTTAAAATGTTCATTTCTCCGGTCCTCTTCCGCTCAGTTTAATTAAGCAGAAAATAATACGCCATATGTCAAATCCTGATTGGTTTCCACATCTAAAAATCACCACCACAGCTTACTAATTAGCATCAGTGAGGCGCCTAATATTGTCAAAATGAGCTGAGATATTTAAAGCGGCCTCTGTGGACACAGACAATGAGGTGTGACATTTTCCGCATTTCCGTGGTTCGCACAATAGCTCGCTGACAGCGCGCTCACGGGGCTTAAGAGTGATGGCGGTGACTTAAGTAAATATAAACAGCGCTGTGACAAATGGCACCTAAAGGTCAGTGCTGAGATGCTGCTTCAATGCCAAATGAAGACAGTGTTTCTTACCTTATGCCTGAGCAGATGCTGAGGGTGACGTCAGAGCGAGGACGTGCCTGCACCTCACCGTGGTAGTAGCAATTATTCTGAAAGACAGAAGTTCGAAATGAAATCTCTGACCAGCACTGACACGGAGGACAGAAATACATTTTCTACTGCTCATAAATCCTCCAAAGCTGAGGACAGACTACATGTTAGCCTGGAAAATTAACGGAAACAGCTTCACTTATGTTAGGGGACGGTTTGAATATGTGTGTGGTATTTGCTAGGCTAGCTCTTAGACTTATTTTAAGGCATTTCTTTAGCTTATGAACAGTTATCTGCTACTCTAAGCTATGATTTATCATATTTGTTAGTTTGAAGGTTTTATCTTAAACCTCCATAGCTACGCTAGCTAATAGCTTTTTTGCTTTTGTTTTTTTGTTTTTGCTGCTGAGAGTAACTTTACCTTTTATCGACATTTCATCAGTTTCTGTTTCTTGAGCCTTGACCAACTTGCTAGTAGTAATATCCCTCTCTCTCTCCATTTGTATGTATGAGTGTGTTGACAATTCAACGTGGACATTTTCCATAATTTTGTTTCGGTGGCTGTTGTGGATAATTAATGAGTGCGGTTGCCCAAATTCCTGCTAATTGTTGACCCTGGCACATCTTGCTCCGATGATGTTTTGCACATTTTCCAGATCAACTGGCCTGGAGAAAAATTATTTTTTTCCTTCCCAGACCTGAAATCAGGGCCACACCTGGTAAGCCTCACAGTCTTTCTTAAGAGAAAAGTCCTGCAAGGTTGAATTTTTTTCCCTCCTAATACAATGTGTGGCACTAAATGGGTGGCATTGATACAGAGAGCTTTTCACTGAGAGGCATATGCAGCATTTAAAACCAAACAACGGTAAAGTAAAAGAAATCAGAGACTCCGCTGTATTCTTACTTTGGTACAGTCGATTCGTTATGAGGTGCCAATGCCAAATAAAAAAGTTTTTCTTTGCTTTAGTGACTTTGAATACCTGACTTTGTGCTACGTTGATTGTATGAAAAGTGTTACATAAATGAGTAAAGTTAAAGTTCAAATAAAAAATCAACAAACAAATTTTATAAAGTTAGTCTTATTTAACATATTTAATGTATTTTCTATTTTGTTGAAGGAAATTTCTGAAAGGTCACAAACACTTTATAAGTGTTTCTTGTTGAACAAAATTAATAATATAAAGTAAATATTCCGCCGGAGTCCGTCTTAAAACTCGTCTTGTCTAAATTTGCTTCTCTCACGTCTTCGGTCGACGGTTTGAGCAGCAGTAAATCTGCATGTGTTTTAAATGTTGGAGAGCAGTTGCAGCACCAGTTCATTTTCTCCTTCTCCACAGCACACGGTGCCCAGCGGTCGCTGAACCGTGAATATCACGCTGCTGAGTGCTGCCGGGTTTTTAGGACAACATTTAGAGAGCGTGCAGCTGTGCGAGGTTTTTTACGAGACGATATCACTCTGACATCAATGTGGTGGACCTGGCGCAACGCTCGTGACATCTCGCACTTTAAACTGGAAGCAGGAAACAAATGCTGTTTGCGTGCGGTTTTTAAGTAAAGAACACATTTAGGCTGTTGCCAAATGACCCAATATTTTGTAATTGTTGTGGAAAATCATACGGCATTGTTGATAGGTGGGAGGCATAAAAAGACACAGTATTGAAATACTCAGCTTATCATAGACACCAGTGGACAACAGTAGACGGTTACAGCTCAGTCCAGATTCCATACTGATTTACATGGATAAATAAGCTGTTAATTAGCCGTTTAAAAGTTCCAGTGTGCAGCCAACTTTTAAACGTTCTGCCACAACATGTGCTCAGTTTGAGGCAGCTGGCGATAAGTATGGGTTAGGGAAAACTTCGTTTCAAATCAAAAAGATTGGATCAACATAAACACACACACACACTCACTTACTGAACGACTTACTCTAAATCAGAGTATTATTCGCTCTACACGCAGGGTTAATAAATAAGTCAAGGTGTGTTTTTTTCAGCGCCACCGCAGGGCACCGTGTGGAATTGTCCTCATTATTCAAAAACACTTGAACGTCACCGTACCGTGGCGTTGTGAGCAGTAGTGATGGCACTTCCATCTTCCAGGTAATGTGTCTCAGTGTAATGGCTTCCAAACAAACCCCTGAGGAGAAAAGAAAAATACAGTCACTGTTAATGCAAATATATATAACTATATACCTACAAATATATTTTTTTTAAATATGCGTGTGTCTTGGTAGAGATATTTCATACAGGTCAGTGTGTGTTCTAGTATTTGTCCATGATTTTATTCCTTCTTCTGGACCGTGATGGGGATATCAGTGTGTGTGTGTGTCTCAAAAACACTTCCTCCACTCCTGTGTTCCTGGGATTAACTAAACCAGCAGCAGATGCTGACAGGTTTAAAACTGGGATTGTAAATGAAGTCACACAGGAAATCATTCATATCCCATGATTCTTTGCTGTCCCACAAAGACAGCATTTACCAGTGCACAAAAACTAGGCAGGAGTCTACTTGGCTCTTTATAAACTGTCTGAAGCAGGATGAGTCCTCTGCAGTCCGGCTCTGACCACATTTAGCTTCATTAAACACTTATTATCTCCTAAATGTGCCTTATCATTCCATTAGCACATTTGAAACCAAATCTGATCAACCACAGGCCTCTAATCACTTTAAAGAGCCTGGGCTCCATTAAAAAATGATGACACACCAGGCGGAAGTTTTAGGACAAAAAAATTATTTGTACATACAGTATATATTTGCTAATCGTAACTGACAGACACTGGCTATAATTAGTGACTGGGATGATTCGGAGGAATGTGAGCACGGGTGTCGTGATGATGTTTGAACTCCCATCTTGTGGCGAATGCTCCCAGGCTACATTTTAGTGAAAAGTCAGCTTAGAGCAGCCTAGACGCTAATGCTGTGACATTCTGCTAGCAAAGCTGTGGGTTTTAAATTCCTGTAATCAACTCCCTGGCATGAGTACACAGAGATTATTCAGACCATGCATGATATCTGTGTACTGGGAAGACAGTTCACTCTGCCCCTCCCCAACATTTACCCTCTGACAGTGGTGTGGGAATATTCAGTGTAAACCAGAGAGCCACCCATGTGACCATCAGATGCACCGGGTGCAGAGATAAAGATAAAGCTCAGCTGCCGGACGGACAACCGTCGTCTAAAGCCCCCCCACCCCGGGCACTTGTGGAACCATAAATGCACAGGAGTGGGCTGATTTCATTGATGGATGGAGAGCTTTTCCACTTTTGTACTTAAGACGAGACATCTATGTTCTCCTGGACCTCAGAAAAGGTGCACTCTGTATTGATTTTGCTTCGGTCACAGATCCACATTAGAAAGCAAATGGCTGAAGGAATTAGTTTGGAATTGACTCTTCTTTCATTGTAACTTCTGAAAATGCTCCTTTGAGTTGTACATGACAGGCCGAATCAAAGGTCTTTGTGTTTTTGTCTTTTCCGTCTTTAACTATAATATCGAAATCTAAAACCCTGTGTCTGTCAGATGTTGTTGCAGCCATGGTAACATGTCCTTAATGGAAGCCTTTAAAGTTGATGGTAATGTTGTTTTAAAACAGTACAGTGGAACCTCGAGATACAAGTTTAGTCCCGTCCACCTCAGCACTCGTATGTCGATTGCATTTTCCAAACCAGTTAATTTGTTGCAGCCCCCCAGAAAAATATTAGAGTTGCTGGAGTAAAATAATCCAGCAACAGCCTGACAGTGTCGAGTGGAAAAATGGAGCTCGGTTGAGCACTCGTAACTCGACGTTTCCTCGCATCACGAGAAAAATCTTGCAAAAGTTGCTTACCCGTAACTTGGAAAACTCATATTTTGGGTAGCTCGTGTCACGAGGCTACCCATATCAGGCGATGAAGCGATCGGCCAACAATAGCTGCACATTTCTACGTCGTTTAATTTGATATATATATTTTTATTTTTATATATACTGTATATTTTTTTACTTCAGCTTGTGTGTCTCAGACGGACACAGGTTTCTGCGTCCTCCTATCCA